TGAACTGTCACTTTAATGACCTAGCACATTGTAGTCTTTCTCACATGGTAGGTGACTCACCTACCTACCACCTCACGGATATATGCGCACAGGCCTAGTAGAATGCCACATTCGTGAACTGATCGATCGAAAACTCTTATGTGCAAGCTTACAACGAATTTGGTGAAAAGCTGCGGCGGCAAATTAACGTCAAATGACTTCGGCATCAAAGACGAATAGTATGCGGCTTTTAACGGTACACCCGAAAGTTGCAATGGACTATAGTCTACTATCTAACTACATAGATAGCATTCAGCCCCACTTCATCCCACCGGGGCTGCGAAAGTGCAGTAATGCTGAAAACGACCACAGTAGTTTCCGTTTTCTATAGTTGAATTAGATTCCCGATCCTAAACTTCCTGAAGATATTCGTGCGGTGCGGTACCACTCTACCTGATTAGTGAAAAATAAAATGTTTTTATTTGTTATTATTTCATATTTGGAACACATTCAACAAGCATCAGAAAAAACAACAAAGTACAGGAAGTGATCGCGACTAACAGAAGTGATGCACCACATGGACCAACTTTACATGAATACGGTGGCGAATTTCGCAGCTTTGCCCTCCACAACGCGACTTTTACATTGCAATTTAAACCGTAACTTTTCTTCCAACCAACAAAATGCCTCAAGGACCGAACGAAATGTGCTTTCACTTTTGATACATCGAGCTTGTTTTGCGTTGTATTCATGTAAAATCGGCAAACAACAATAGAAATTTCGGAATGAACGAAGCATGCGGTAAGTGCGTTAAGATTAAAAGTGAATACTGAAGCTGTGAGACAAATTTTGTCAGTTCATGAGATTCCAATAATATACACAAAGTGATCCCAAATCAATGGTAAACTTAACAAGCAAAAGCAGAAGTTGAAAATACTCGGGAAAGGCGTGCTCAATGATGAAGATATGACGAAAGCTGAGGTGGGCGAAGAGAGTTCCTCAGTTGGCTTCAACTCAACATCCACTTGTTTTCCAAAAACACAATCATGTAATTGTTAATCGAAATCATGGAATGCCACGTATAGCATCGACGCTATCTAGCAATTCTGTAGCCCGGGGCTTTCAGGATGAGCGAAGGAGATTTGCTGAGCAACAGATAAACATGCTTTTAGACTATATAGAACAGCGGATAAGGTAAAAATCAACACCGTAATAGCATATCACAGGGATTCAACACAGGGAGTTCTCGTAACTGATTCCAGACGTATCATCTTAACGCCAGCCATGAATCTTGCAAAGGCACGGACTAAGTTTTTGGGGCTCTTGGGATCCAAATCAACTATCTTCACCGAGTACGCAAAACACAATCCTGAAAAAAAGGAATAATGTAGTCATCACTGCGTAATTAATAACAGCTGAAAACTGACCGTTAGGAAGCTTAATCATTTGGGCGTCATCAACACCTGCTGAAGTGTGGTAGGTTCCAGAGGGCACCAATCGGAAAGAAGCCATCACCTTCAAAAGAAACCAATATAGTAGAACGTGAAGTGAAGGTGAAAAGGAAAAGTGGAGACAAGTGAGAAATACGACAGAAACATCTTAGTGCTCAGAAATGGCTGTTCCATGAGGAAATTTGATGATTACAAAAAAAAACTAGTTTCACTGGTCAAAGAATGAAACATGCAAGTCTTTTTTTTTCTCACGCAAAGATAGAAAGTGCAGAACACCGCAGTATGTTGTTTCACCTTCTTTCAAGATAGCTTCAAAACCATAGTAGTTGTCAAAGATGGTAATTTTTGCCGCGCGTACTACACTTTAAAAGCCCTATACCAACACAGAATATTGAAGTAAAGCAGATTAAAAGTACATTTGTATAGTATGGACAGGATTTCGAGTGAAACCATACACGAGAAGCTGTAAACTAAGCGCACAAAAACAATGCTCCGATATTACGTGTAACCTAAAATGGGGATACTGGGCGCTCAAGCACTACCTTCACTCAAAAACACGTTTTGAAAATGTCTCAATAATTAGTAAGCGCAATAAAAACTCAAAAATTCAGTCTTGTAAGAGTTCCTTGTTTTGCTTAAAGCTTCTTTTGAATGTATAACCCTAAACAATCAGATGAACTCAATGGGAACTCATCCAAGTAATCTCAAGTGACGATTAATAGGATGAAAACTCACAGAACAGTCCTTCATTGTTGCAGCTAGGAGATACTGTTCTAGAAGAGCTCGATCGTCAGTCGCTTCCAATATTTCCAATCCTCTCACAGGAAGCCGAGTTTTGTAGTGTAGTTCTTTCTGACAAATGATTAATGCTTTGTCGGAGGAAGGAAAATCCCACTGGAGTATCATACCTGTACAGCAGCTGGGAGACTTTTGTAAATCTGGTGAGCTTTCACTATCCCCACTGAATCGATCTTTTGCGCAGCCAAGATTTGTCCAAGGACCGAATGCTCCCGTAAAGAAAAGTCACGCACATCGTCACATCCTGCTAGCACTAGGCAGAGCTAAACGACATGGCTTCAGTCTTGAGATGTAATTTCAACGAATGTGAGAACTGTTTTTCTGAAGTCGTACCGCTGTAATCAAGTCGTCCGCGTTTCCTTGCCCGCTTGGAAAAAGTGTGGTTGAAAAAAGATCAGCATCAAGAAGGGATTCGTCCGAGTGAATCTAAATATCTGCCACTGATTTTCATTGGCTTCATTATTAAACCCTACTATATAGCGCGCTCGCTCTGAGTGCGTCTGTCACAAAAAACGCTTCTACATGGAAAACCACCTGCAGAGGTTGGGTGAAGTTTGAGATGGATGCAGTATGGGTAAGGAAGTGCAAAACACATATCAGCTGGGCGGAGCCCCGTCTGCAGTGAGCGGGTACGCGCCAAATTGGGTGGTGCCGACGGCAACTTCAGTTATAGAACAGCTCCACGACCGGAGAAAGATGGGTAAAGATGTGCACGGAGTTGCTTACCATAAAGTCGAACCAGAGAGATCCGCCCGCAACGGGCGAAGCGTTTTTTCAATGGGCAGTGCTTAGTCAAAAAATTCACAACTTGAGTTCTGACTTGTTTTTGTTTGTTAACTGCTTTTTGGCCGCAGTTCGCCTTGCGAATGTTTCACAAGAATGCTGGGTTGTGAACAAAACTTTCGCCCCAGGCGGGACTAGAACCCGCACCTCTCGCTTTCCGGGCAAGTGCGCTACCAGTTACGCTACCGGGGCACCATTTTATTCCAACTAGTAGTTTTGTTCACAATCCAGCATTCTTGTGAATATTCATAACTCGGTTAGAAGAAAGCCTATAGGGCAGAAAGAGATCAATGTAGGAGAGCAAAATTCAAGGTGTTGCTTGCAACTTGAGCTGAGCGGTAGTCCACCTACCATGGGCAGAGCGTGTCCTTAGGTGGGCAAAGTTCAGTACAAGTACGCATAAATCGGTCCAGAGAAGTACAAAAAACCGGGAAAAAAGTGGATCAAGTCTAGCAAACGAAGGGTGGTCAACTGCTACTAGTGCGTAGAGCGTGCAATGAGGTCGGCAGAATTTACTGGAAACACTATAACTCGATTTTAAGAAAGCCCAGAGATTGTAAAAAGGGTAGAGATTACATAAATGTAAGTGGTGGGCGCTGAAGTGGATGGAGTGTGCAACAAAATTCATAATTCCGCCTAATAAGCTCCAGCCGGAGACCGGGAAAACGCAGGTAGAGGTTGGCGAAGGAAAGGTGGTCAACTACTAGTGGTGATTGGAGCGTGCACCGGAGTGGGCAGTTTGCCGCGATACATCATAGTTAGGTTGCAAGATTTAGAGATCGGGAATAAGTGGACTAAGTTGGCGAAGGAAAGGTTAAATACTATTAATCCCTGTTTTATACCACTGCACCCTGTGTGATGCACACGAATGCGTGCACAGCCAAACTAGTTTCGCGTATGAAGGCAAAAATTCAAAGTAGTACCAAATTCCCATCGATGAAGATACGCAAATTTCTGTGCGGCACTTTCAGCAGAGCCTCGAGAGCAGACTTCATTCTGGGCAAGTTTCCGGAAAAGAGATCAATTGGACAGAAATCGTACATCTCCTCGTAGTGGTCCGATCCACATTTCTCGAGCTAAAAAAAAGCAGATGAACCGAATGAAGTGAAACAAGCAAATCCAAGATCGTCTGGAGAAAGTGAATGATCTGCATCTACGTACTACATTATCCCTTAGACTACAACTTTTCAAATAGTGAGCTACCAATGGGTTCGCTGTTGCTGTGGGGTAACTACCGCTCCTAACTACGCCAAATACAATTTAGATCAGAGGGTAATCCACGGAAAAATATGCTGTAGCGTCCCATCGTGTCAACACACAATCTCCCACTAAATAGAAATTTCGAAATACATATTATCGAATTAAACATCATTTACAACCACATAATCTCACAGAACTACAAACAGAAGTGCTAAGAATGTTCGGAATTTTAATAAATTAGTCTTCCCAAGCTACATACCCTGACCAGCGAATTGCAATAGGGCCTTGTACATTGACAATCGATCCAGAGTAGTTCGTTTTAACGTATGAAATTCATTAGTATGACCACGAAATCATTAGTTGTGCATAATTCATTCTTCAGACAAAAGCCCCTGCCCCAAGAGGTTTTCAAAATTGAGGTAGTACCCATTGACTGGTGGTGATAGACATATGTACCAACAGTAGTCAAAGGGGAGTTCCGTAGACACATTAATGATCAAAGGATTTTTCCTCACCAACATTTAATAAAGTTGAAGTAAAAAAAAACCTATAATGAAACTTGCACATAAAACCATAGAATACCTGTAGGATACAATTGTTACAGAATGGAAGATCGATCGAGGCATGGTTTTGAAAGAATCCTTGTTTAGGTTTGATTTCTACCTGAACACAAAAGTAAATGAATGACTACCAACAGATGGGAAATTATGTTGTACAGCATAATTGGGAGAAAAAATAATCGCGAAGCTCAGTGCGTACGCTGCGGTTGTCGCACAGTCCTTGAAAGGCACTTATGATGGCACCATCCTAGTAGTACAAATCCTTCCATAAATGTAATGCCACTAGGTTACGGGTACCCTACTTCTTCGACAAAATCTACTTGCTACTTTACTATCATAGAGTGCATATGCTTCTTTGGGAAAACCAGAAGTTACGGCACTAAAAGCTCATCAGCAGCTTCTCCATAAGTGCTTGGCTAGTTTTCCTTTTTCATATTGGGTCTTTTGAAAGTTCTGTCGTTTTTGACCCCTAAGTTGAATGCATATATGTCGGCTGAAACGAGGTAAAATCGAAGAGGTTCTTTACAGCATTATGTTGGGTTTCGGAGCAATTAAGGGAATTATTTAGGACCTCAAAAAATCGGCCTCGGATTTGGTGAGAAAGATAGCCACAGCAATGTTCCGTAGCGCAGGCGGTTGAAATTGTGCGGGGATTGCTTGTGCTAAGCGTCCTAGCTCACAGTAAATTTCCCTCGGTGCAGTTTTGAACTTGTGAAGATTACAGAGCTTGATCTTTGTCGAACCACTGAGCAGAGTCTCGACTGTTTCAGGCAAATAATCATTCTACATCACATGAAGCAGCAATGCGACAGAAACGGTGTCGTTTCCGTTACACACATGAATAGAGAAAGACAGCCAACGCTCCAAAATGACCATTAATGGAACAAGAAAATTGTGCAAACCTGCGCGTTTACCTGCCTACCCAATGCTTTTAAAAAGGTGGAAAAAAGGTTAGAACAGGACTGACTGGACTACCAGATAGTGAGAAAGGCCCTTTACAATACTGTAGATTGTGGCAATTTGTTGCAATAAACACAAAATAAAGTAGGTAAAAGGAATTATTAAGGCACGACTGTACTTTCTATAAGACCTCATATTTCGCATTTATGCACAAACCGTGATGGTCGGTCCAATATAGGAGATTAGGTGCTTCGGAATCCTTGTAGCATCCAACATTTCCAACGCGGAAAGCCTGACGACGTTTCGCGGAACATTCGCCAACGGGAAAAATGAGAGATCATCAGGAAGAGCTAACAGCTCATCGAACTTCTCAAGCTTGAAGTTGGCTGGAAGCGAGGGGATCTGAAAAAAACTTTCCCTTTGCATTAGAACTCGAAACAATACGATAAAGAATCTGAAAAGTATCAACAGTACTGCGATGACTTTGCTATTCGAAGATACAACAATATGACAAAATAAATCATGGAAAATTTAAAATTCGTTACTAGTTTTGCAAGATTAGGAGGCCATCACTAGACTAAATATAACCTGTTCTAAGCCAGTAGTATGAAATACTGAAGCACCTGATACCTTTGCTAATTGGTGAACGTCCGTCACTGCCATTTCGATGATTTTCGGATTGACAAGATATCGTGCATCGAAGAAGGGCGAAACGAGCTGCTCCATATATTGGCTTACCAATTCACTCTTAGCCTTCCACGTCAAAAGGCCACTTTTTCTTGCTTTTGCGAACCTCCAGACAATTCTGAATTTGTAGTATCATATATTTACTATCAAACAATGTAATAGAATTGGGTTTGAGAAATCATTAGGAAGGGCTAAACGGGAGTGGGCATGTGGTGCCACAGTCACAGCCGTCTACAGAAATTCCGATATTTAAAAGGGAGAAAATCCCCGGCGTGCGTGTACCATTTTGCTTCCGCTTTCATACCCATTCTGGAGCTTTCTTCTCCTTCGAAAAATCGAATTATTTTAGGGATGTGAATTCTCGCACCACTCACACTACATGCCACCTCCTCCTCATAAGATGAGATCCGTACGATTTTGCACGAATAAAACAGGTCACATATTGCCGGGAGGAGAGAGAAAGAGAATAGATCTAATTCAGGATAACCATTCTCTGTGGAGGTTAAGACTCCCTTTTTGAGCAAACATTTTACAAGGTAATAAATCATAGGAAATCCAGCGTAACTATTCCGAAACAGTAGACAAATTTCATGAACGTAAACTACGACAATGTAATAATATACCGTATTCCAGTCGTTGCGTTTTTGGCACTAATGACGAAGTTTGCTCGTCCCTCTCCACGAAGGCAAAAAGAGCGAAATTTTCGTGGATCGACGATGTCAATCATCATGTCATACTTCATTTGAACGCATAGAAGTTTAGTCTGAAATCATTACTGAAGTTATATGTTGACAAAGAACCACAAACGAAAGTCTACGTGACAGACAAAAACATAACAGTACGCGCAACAATG